TCACTTTTCGTCGTTACACCGGCCGGACCTAATACGATAAAATATTTGGTCCGGCCCGTATAAGAAAAGGTCCCCCTGCGTTTTAAGGTCCGGGTGGTGCAAAATGTTTTAATCTTGACTTTAACATATGAAATTAAGGCTACCGAATGATTTGTTTATATTATATGATGAAAGAAGGATTAACCCTGTTGTGTTTTATTTTTTGTTCAACATACATATATCTCTAGACAAGAATCTACTCGTATAGTGTGCTTTAAGCAGTGCCGTTTAGGGCCATGATTTCTTTAAAAATCATGCCACAATTATTTTGCAAGTGTTTGTTTTTCCTTAGAATTTGCCTTTTGTAAATTAGTACGATCAAAGGTGTGAAATCTGTCGGTGTGTATAGCTAATAAAACAATGGGTGTGTGACGTATTTGTTACCTGACAGGTACCCACAGGTAGAGCCCGCGGGAGATGGCGCTGTCATTGAATGGTCGGTGAACCTAATGGTCATGTGTTAGCTTTACATATCAATAGATCTGATTTTTTTTATTAATGGATTATGCCAAGGAACCAAATATTCAGACGTACACTTCAAAACTGCGACATTTATAATAATTATAACCATACATGTATAATCTTTATTTGAATAATTAAAGCTAAATATGGCGTATCTGAGCTAAAAATTAAAAATACAAGATTAAGCGTAGATTTACATGAGATTTGGTTTTTATGTTCAAATTAAAATTTTCACCGATATTGAACTTAAATATCCCCACGTTTCTATTAGTTCAATTCAAACTAATTGAATTAAAATTTAGTCTGATATTTATTTAAATTCCGAGTCGATAACAATCGGCCATTGTTTTAAATCTCGGATATCTACATGTATGAAACGCGATTGATTTAAATTGTTTGATTTTCATTAAATGTTTCAGTCTGCATTCCATTTCGGATTTTTCATTTTGTTGAAATTGTAAACTTTTTATTTCCGACATTTTAAGCTTTCATTTCCGACATTCTAAAGTGTTCATCTCTGACATTTTTCAGAAAGTGCTTTTCGCATCGTCTCAAGCCAAGATCCGGAGTCCGCATTAGCTCTCTCCTACGGAGAGGAGCGTACATTTTGGCCGTGGTTTGCGACGATGTGCTTTCCGGTAATGAAATATTTTTAAAAAAAATTATAGACTGTTTAGGAAATCAATCTTCGGCGCAGTCTTTGACATTTAGTGAACATTAAATGCGATGAAAAAATTGCATGCTCATTAAACTCTGTTAACTAGACTTAATGCTTCATGTACAAATGTATATAAATGTATATAATAATATAAATTTTATATTAAAAATGTTGTGTATAATAAATTCCTCGAAATTCCATTTCTACATACATGTACCTGGTAAACATTAAATTGCTGGAGAGGTACCTTGCAAAAATTCCAGAAATGAAAAGAAATAAATGTCGGAAATGAAATAAAGAAAAGGCGGAAATACCATGCCGATTTCCGGAAATGAAAAGCAGCAGTCCTATTTTTACAGTGGTATATAAAGTACCAAAACAAATAGAATGATCTTTTTCATATTTTTAGTCTGAACTTATAAAAAAAAAACGCCTTATATGACTTTAAAGTTTTTAAATGCAGTATAATATAAGTTCCGCCTTCTGTATTTCATATATCTTCATATCATAAAGTGAAATTTTTGGACAGGGTTTATTTTCGTAGCTTAAAAACTAGAAAAATAGACAGGGCGGACCTTAAACGCAGTTATCAGAAAAGGTCCGCCTTCTGTATTTCAGATGATTTTATGCTATAGAGGGAAATTTTTGACAGGGTTTATTTTCGTAGCTTGGAAAGTAGAGAAAGAGACAGGGCGGACCTTAAAACGCAGTCATCAGAAAAGGTCCGCCCTCTGTATTTCAGATATTTTAATGTCATAAAGGGAAATTTTTGGACAGGGTTTATTTTCGGAGCTTGACAACTAGAATAATAGACAGGGCGGACCTTAAAACGCAGTTATCAGAAAAGGTCCGCCCTTGTATTTCAGATATTTTAATGTTATATAGGAAATTTTTGGACAGGGTTATTTCCGTAGCTTAAAAAAATAGAGAAAGGGACAGAGCGGACCTAAAATCGCAGTTATCAGAAAAGGTCCACCCTTGAAATTTCAGACATCTTCATGTCATAAAGAAAAGCTTTGGACAGGGTTTATTTTCGTAGCTTAAAAACTAGAAAAATAGACAGGGCGGACCTTAAAACGCAATTATCAGAAAAGGTCCGCCCTCTGTATTTCAGATATTTTTATGTTAAAAGGAACTTTTTTGGACAGGGTTTATTTTCTTAGCTCGAAAACTAGAGAAAGGGACAGGACGGACCTTAAAACGCGGTATAATATAAGGTCCGCCCTCTGTATTTCATATATCTTTATGTGATAAAGGGAAATTATTTTCGTAGCTTGAAAACTAGAAAAATAGACAGGGCGGACCTTAAAACGCAGTTATCAGCAAAGGTCCGCCCTCTGTATTTTAGATATAATCATGTCATAAAGAGAAATTTTTGGACAGGGTTTATTTTCGTAGCTTGAAAACTAGAAAAAATAGACAGGGCGGACCTTAAAACGCAACTATCAGAAAAGGTCCGCCCTCTGTATTTCAGATATTTTTATGTTAAAAGGGATTTTTTTGGACAGGGTTTATTTTCGTAGCTTAAAAACTAGAAAAATAGACAGGGCGGACCTTAAACGCAGTTATCAGAAAAGGTCCGCCCTCTGTATTTCAGATATTTTTATGTTTTAAAGGGAAATTTTGGACAGGTTTATTTTCGTAGCTTAAAAAACTAGAGAAAGAGACAGGGCGGACCTTAAAACGCAGTTATCAGAAAAGGTCCGCCCGCTGTATTTCATATATATTCATGTCATAAAGGGAAATTTTTGGACAGGGTTTATTTTCGTAGCTTGACAACTAGAATAATAGACAGGGCGGACCTTAAAACGCAGTTATCAGAAAAGGTCCGCCCTTGTATTTCAGATATTTTAATGTTATATAGGAAATTTTTGGACAGGGTTATTTCCGTAGCTTAAAAAATTAGAGAAAGGGACAGGGCGGACCTTAAAACGCAGTTATCAGAAAAGGTCCACCCTCTGTATTTTAGATATATTCATGTCATAAAGAGAAATTTTTGGACAGGGTTTATTTTCGTAGCTTAAAAACTAGAAAAATAGACAGGGCGGACCTTAAAACGCAATTATCAGAAAAGGTCCGCCCTCTGTATTTCAGATATTTTTATGTTAAAAGGAACTTTTTTGGACAGGGTTTATTTTCTTAGCTCGAAAACTAGAGAAAGGGACAGGACGGACCTTAAAACGCGGTATAATATAAGGTCCGCCCTCTGTATTTCATATATCTTTATGTGATAAAGGGAAATTATTTTCGTAGCTTGAAAACTAGAAAAATAGACAGGGCGGACCTTAAAACGCAGTTATCAGCAAAGGTCCGCCCTCTGTATTTTAGATATAATCATGTCATAAAGAGAAATTTTTGGACAGGGTTTATTTTCGTAGCTTGAAAACTAGAAAAAATAGACAGGGCGGACCTTAAAACGCAGTTATCAGAAAAGGTCCGCCCTCTGTATTTCAGATATTTTTATGTTATAAAGGGAAATTTTTGGACAGGGTCTATTTTCGTAGCTCGAAAACTAAAGAAAGGGACAGGGCGGACCTTAAAACGCGGTATAATATAAGGTCCGCCCTCTGTATTTCATATATCTTTATGTGATAAAGGGAAATTATTTTCGTAGCTTGAAAACTAGAAAAATAGACAGGGCGGACCTTAAAACGCAGTTATCAGAAAAGGTCCGCCCTCTGTATTTTAGATATACTCATGTCATAAAGAGAAATTTTTGGACAGGGTTTATTTTCATAGCTTGAAAACTAGAAAAATAGACAGGGCGGACCTTAAAACGCAATTATCAGAAAAGGTCCGCCCTCTGTATTTAAGATATTTTAATGTTATAAAGGGAATTTTTTGGACAGGGTTTATTTTCGTAACTTGAAAACTAGAGATTAGAACTTTTTTATTGTGCAGAGTTTAGAACTTCCTTGATTAATATTTTAATTACCAGCCTAATAGTGTGCAAATTTCCTACTTTCACACAAGTTTTATAAATGTATTATACGTCTTTTCCCATTTACACAAGTTTGTACAAAGTTAGGCTCATAGTAAACAAAAACTTTGAAATGAATGACCATTCTCGATTTACTATTAATAGAAAATCACAAAAGTCGGCTGACACCTACCACATTGTATGGTTTTGTTCTTTATATTTCGTGAATTTCAGCGTAAAAAATTGTTGAATCGTATGGTTTAGATATCATAAGGGTACTACATGTATCTTTGTTAAACAATTATTCAAAACAAACAAATCAGCTTTAAATTATTACTTCAAATGAAAGATAAAGTTAAGTAATAGCGGATTATAAAGCTGGTGAATATAAAACTTGAGATCAATGTAAACACATTTCAGTGTACATGAAGATAATCCGAAAATCTTCGAATTATTTCAGGTTTTTTTTTTTTTTCAAGATTTTGAACCAACTTGCGACTAGTGTGGAATGCAATAATTTCAAAACAACAAGAAAGAGAAAAAAAATCCTTCTTTGATATATAGAACATCAGGCTAGAAAAACTTTATCTACTCAAATATTATTGTGAAGGAATCTTTCAAATATCATATATTTGTATAGGTTAATTTGATGTAAAGAAGAAACATTCAACAATATGAAAAATTCAATCAGAAGAAAGGAAGTTTTTATTAACGAGTTATATTAAAAGTAAAATAAATTTAATTAAAGTACATGTAGTGTATTTAGAAGAAAACTTATAAGAGGAATGCGCTGTGGTTCATAGATTTTCTGCATACACGTATAACATATTGATAGATATCTTGATAACGTAAAATCCGCAAATAAAAATTGTTAAGATAGTTCCTGTATACATAAAATGAATAATAATTATTACAAAAATTCACAAAGAGAAAGCATGTGATTTAGAAATCGTTGATTTGTAAAGCTTTGATTGGAAGATGTGCATACCCTGTCGGTGTATATATTAGCCTCTTACTCAGTCCTAGCATCATCAAGACTTGAATCCTCCAACAATATGGACGGCCGAATTATTGGTCTCCTGGGGATACTTTGCCTCCTCATCATACAGGCCAAAGCGCACGATGAAGGGGTAAGCTTAGTTACAGCTAATTATACTTGTAGTTCATAGAAAGTCAATGTGTACATGTACATGTATATGCTCCGTATGTCTTTCCAAATCAACAATTGTAATTGATTGGATTTTGATGAAATGGCCAAACATGTCTGTTTATGAACTGAAAATTGACCTTTCAAAGAGTTGTCACTGTCAACTCAGTGTTACCAATGACACAAAATGTGACGAGTTAGTTTTGATCACTTTTGGTGTTGAAAACGTCAGTTTGTGGCAATAAATTACAGAATTTTCTTATTAATGTTTGAGATAACAAAAATTTCCAAAAATATTCAGGCATTGGACATATATTATATAGTATCATATAAATTGTTTCGTGGTGATAAGAAATCAGAGGTATTCAATTTCTAAAGGCGCCATCTTTCGATCGTTTGTTCGTTTGTTAACAAACGATTTGATCTAAATCTCTAGAAGTTTACATGTATAATATTATTAATATTAACATGATTAATAATATGTTAAATGCCCAAAAAATTGAGGTGGTATCTACGTTAAGTTTATCTTAAAGAAATAAAACAGGCAGAAAATAACTAAAGATGCGTATCAAATTAACTTTTAGGTCATTAAACAGACTGAAGATTCTATTACGGAGTGCACGTGCATGAAATCGGATAGAGATTGCAAACAGATCAAGAACAAGTGCGAAGCTGAGGTTTGTTCAGGTAAGATTTTTCTTGAAATTTTGAAGATTTCCACAATTCACTGGAATATCATTCTTCGGGCAGTTATAATAACGAGAAATCTGAGCTTGCATTCAACTTTTTTTTTAAAGAAAAACAAAACAAAACATACGTACGAGTTTTACATAAATAATCAATTCTAGCAATATTCCTATTACCCTTTGGTGTTGCGTGCTAAAAAGGGTCTTCTCATTCCAAACTTTTATATTACCGCCAAGATGTATGTACAATATTTTTTAATAATTATGTAAATTACCAAAAATTAAATTTTTTGTTATTTATTTTTATTGTTCATTTGTTCATGTATTTCAGTAAGGGATGCTTTTGAATGTAAGAGTTGTGGGGGCGATGCTTGTGATTGTGTTTACAGCGTATTGGAAGATAGAGTCGCTGAAGTCTGTGTTATGGGTAAGTCAATATGACGTCATATGACTAATGAGATAAATGTTGATTCTTGATAATAGAAAGAAAATAACTATTTTAATATGTTGAGTTAAAAGGAAAATTTAACTTTATTTTCAATGCTCGAGAATATAATTCCTTTTTTTTTGTCTTAAAAGTCAAAAAAGTAGGTGTATTATTTACATTTGTATTAGAATATCTTCTACGTGTTGTTGGATAGTACAATTATTTATGACAGGTTAAATGATGTAAATGTTATATTTAAATATTTACATTTGCCAATATTTGACGATGCCTTTCTTTTTATGACAATGCGAATTAAAATAACATTCAGTTTTAAATGACAATCAATTTTTGGAAGTTCTAGACTTTGGTCCGTCACATGACGTCGTGCATGCAAGGTTACTGTACATGGCATTTCCAAAATAAAGTTTAAACAGTGCATATTTTGCTTTGTATCACAAATAAAAACAAGAAAACATTGATGTAACCATCAATACTCGCCCGGGAAATATATAAAGTAAACAATGGAAATGAGTCTTGATCATCAAACCGCTTTGATATATGTGAAAAGACATGCGTCTAATTGATGGAGACGATAGTCGCGAATATTTTGAAAACTTATAGTCGGATAAAAATCAAACAAAAACGATACCATCTTAAACTTGATCAATTCTTCAAGTAAATGTTGGCTGCATAAAATATAAATTTAAGTTAGACACATGCATCACCTATATTCAAGAATGAATATAATTTACAATTTCAGAATATAAAACACGAAACTTGCATATTACGTTTTTATGCGAGAATAAAAATTCGATATTCTAAAAAAAGGGACCTGTCGTTTTTTCGATAGTAAATGATAAGCAACTTTACATATTAAATATGAAAAACATATATATTTTTACAGATTCACTTTATTGAAGTAAATATATTATGTATCTCGTAATTTATAAAGGGAAAGAACATTCTGATTTACAAACTTTTCAATGTTTAGAAAACCATTAATTCTGAATAACTACTCCCACCAAAATCCCCATACACCAACAATTAAACTTATATGTATAGAGCAGCCCGGTCCTCCGGGCTGCAATAAAATGCCTTCGAGCGTTAAAGGATTTGATCACGTGAACAACTTCATGTTATCAATGAATCTTTTAAAATGATATCAATTGTCTCTTGAATAACGCTATTGTACGCTTCAAAAATTCAAAAGTATTATTTATTATCAATAGGAGAAGAGGGAGGAGGGAAAAAACGAGGCCTCAAGAAATTCATTAAAAAGATAAAAGAAAAGATAAAGAAAAAGGTTCGGAAAATAAAAAAGAAGTTGAAACGTATTTTCCAAAGAAGAAGAAACAGAAGAAATAGAAGTCGACAGAGAAGAAAAAATGACAACAGAAGAAGAAAGCCAGAGACACGGAGAAGGTCAAGGATCAGAAGGATAAAACCCAAGGACTCCGAAGAATGCGATGAGGGATATTATAAGTCGTATGGGAGGTAGCCCTGGAAAGACTCCTGATGGCCGACAGATATATCAATCAATTCAATAATGAATATGATTTAATAAAACCCATTTTAAAAATCTTCCTTTGTTCGCTTTAAAATCATTTCTGTAACTCGCTTCTTTATTTAGTGTCATATGTTATCCAAATTTGGTAGAAATATTTCAACAATAAATCTTAATGATTTGTATTTAAAATTAAAAAAAGATGATGTATTTGAAACCTATCCAGATTTATCAACCACGAACTTTTCATACAATCCTCGAATGGCTTATAGTTGCTCGGAAATGTAATCTGCTTTAAAAACTTTTATCTGGTCTAATATCACTCTTTGGCTGAAAATTCAGCATCTAAATCATGACTGGTACAGTGAAATGAGTTAAGAATGACTTTTTGTTGAATGAAATATATGGAGATAACGAACAGTATTCAAACCCAAAAGTTCAATCAACAATACAAAGTAGGAGCATAGCAAACTCTGAAAGATCAGAGGTGGAATCAGGTGCCATGTGAGCAGTGGGCATTCCCTGCCGACCGTTCATACCCGCCGTGTGCTCCTTGTCATGATCAGGAAATAGCGAAAAAAAATCCGTCGTCAATTCAGTGTGTAAATGATGGACTAACAATTAGTATGAAACACATCTGTCAGCATTTGACTTAATAAGTTGTATTGCTGGTGCTAGATCCATTATGACGTCATGATTTATTTATACTAAATTTTTTCGCATACTTTTCATCTATAGTAGAATAAGGGTCATTAAAAGAACTTGTTTCTCAAATTTGAAGTATCTGTAGGCTCCTTTCATTTACTAGATCTTGACCTTATTGCTAAACTAGACTTCAGTTTATGGCTCAATCAATATAACAAAACCAAATTATATTAGTGCAGAGGTCACAAGAGAACCAGTGAGGTTTTCAAGGTGAAACATCCAATTTTACTGACAAAACATTGCAATTCAATGTTGAATTTTTGCTTAATTTTTTAAATAAATATAAAAATGCATAGTTAATATGGCAGCCTTTTATAATATCACGTATCCAGTATCTGTTGCATATATATATATATGTTAAGATGACAACAATCTCTGGAATTTACTTATTTTATATTTGGTACATATTTACAAGAACCTGGTGACTTATTGTACATAAACTAATGTATATGACATTACAAAGTAATATGTATGTCAAAAAACCATTATAAATCTATATGAATCCTGCTAAATACCATTTTTTACCTACAGGCAAATAATAAAGTAAATAAATAATTTACTTTGAAACATATACATTTTCACTGCAACTCATTGTATAGCAGTGATTTGTTGTGGACGGACTAGGATATACCCCTTTACTGTCTTCTTTTGATTTTAAGTAGTATGAGCTGAGAGTCATCATCTCTTGGTTTTGGGGACAGCGAGCAGGCGATCTCGAGTTTTCTTTTTCTGGTCTTGTTCCTCCATTAATCGGCTGATATACTGCTCGTGTTTTTTCTCGATCTCCACTTCCGTTAGCTGCTTTTTGTGCTCGATTTCTTTTTCTCGTATCTTTTTTTCTAGTTTCTGTAACGCCTCTTTCTTCTTGTTTAAATCTTGTTCTTGATGTTCCACCTTTTTACTTATTTCTGTGAAAAATGTCATGTTTGTTACAATATGGAACTGTATATCTGTAAATCATTTTCTTTCTTTCATATTGCTGTGGTTTCATTTAATTCCATGGGTATCAAATTTTAAAGTTTAAATTTTTTTTAGTAAATTACTTTAAAATGTAAATTCATAAACATCTACTTCTTTTCTTTACTTTGTAAATTTTTAAACTGGATGATTACTCAATTTTACAACTTTGCCCCCCCCCCCCCCCCCCCCCCCTAGTAAAATAATTTTTTAAAAACTGCAGTGTTCAACAATAACAAAAAGAAATGCTACCACAATGACAGTTATCTTTCTTTGATTTTTTGCAACGTTCCCAAGTCTACAATTTTTGATGAGATATCAATAATTTCCTAAATATTGTTTTGAATGAAATCACTTATCTTTTTAGGTAGGATTTTCAGTAAAGAAAGATCCCAACAGTAATTTCACAAGATACTAATACATGTTATCACAGAATGTCAACAGAAAAATTGACTATAGATTATTTTCCTGTCAAAAATTGTTCAGATTTCCTAATTTAACAAGTGGTGCTTCCATCTAGGTAGAGCTCTATTAGATTCTAATCTCAAATACTGTTTCTATTTACCTGAACATTTTGATTCTAATTTGATGTTCTTTGATGTTTCCTTCATGGCTTGTGATCTTACATCACCAAATCTGAAAAAATTTTTTACACCAAGTGACAACTTATGCCATGTGCTGCATCATCTGCAGCCCATTTTCACACTTCAAGGAAAAATTTCATGTCAGTAGGTTCATGTACACAACATTTACTGCTATCATAAGATTGGGCTTAAATGTCAGTATTACAAAAAAGTTTGCACTGTACCAAAGATGGTGATGAATTAAATCTCAGGGTTCTGGAACACCATGCCAGTGCTATAATCTCTTATATTCAAATATTTGTTAACCAAGAGACAACTGTCATTTGGATAGCTTGAGTTTGGATTTTATTGCATGTGGTAGAATCGTTTAGAACATGTAGCAGTTAACATACAAGAGATATACGTGCAAAAGAAAGTAAAGTAAAATAGATTTTATATATACAAGCTATAATATGTAAATTACATTGTAAAATGAAAGTCTTTTCTTACGCTCTTTGGAATGCCTCTTTTTCCCTTGCCAACTGTTTGGTTAAAATTTCAATTTCTCCCAGAGCAAATTCCAGTCGATCTGTGACTTCACTGAGTTCTGTCCGAGTTTTGGCGTGCTCTTTTCTCTCTTCCTTTTTTTATATACAAATAAGGAAATGGAACTATTTTAATTCAAGAAAAATCACACCTAGACCAATATGTCCAATAACAAAGCTAAGCATCAAAAACTACTTTCTTTTTTTATCACATAATTTCTATATGGAAAAAGACAGTTTAAAATTTGACTACTATATTTAGAGAATACCTCTATTTGAGATTCTAGTTGTATATAGTCTTCTTTGGGTACATAATCTTCTTGAACAGATCGCTGAAACAAAATTAGAGATATTACATGTAGTACCTTTAGAATTTAGCATACTTTGAGACTAGCGGGCAATTGAGTCAATGTTCAGATACATGTACAAGGCAACCAGGCAACATGTCTGATGGACAAGACTTAGCGCTTATTCCAGTTAATGTTGAGCTGATCTGTATGACTGGTCACTATGGTGGTGAGAGTCAAAGTTATCTCCACTTTTATTTATACACTATTTGACTTATGTTAATATTATACTAAACTGTGAAAATATATACAAATCTTAGATAGAATGACTTTTTTTATGTACACTAGATTAAATCCTGATTTAAAACATTCAGCTCTAGACAGATGCTACCAACTCACTAGTAAACAAATCTGACATTTCTCTCTGTCAATCATTGCTCTAGAAGACAGGGACGCTGACTCCTTCTTTTACCTTTACAACTTCCATAGCGGGGTTATTAATTTTATTACAATAACTGTAACTTGATCAGAAAAGCAATATCTAGTTGAGATGACAGACCTCACATCTCATTTGATCTGCTGATCCACGCCTATCAACTTGAACTGATACCACTCTTCTCAATGTACAACAGGTCCAGTACAATCACTAGATTTAGCTACAGTTTATACATTGCTGCGTTTGGACAATTTAGAGCATAACATGTAATTCCATTGTTTGGTTAACTGTCCTTTCTTTTGGGCTCGGTGAGGCATGACTGAGTATGATTACTTCACATTGTGCTGAACAATTACCGACCTATTATCGTGTTACCCAGAACTGGACTTCTTTGTCATTTCATTCAAGGAGTAACTGTTCTAACTGTCATACATAGCCCCAAAACTTTCAGAACTTTGATTGCAATTGCGCAGAAAAAGACATTTTTCCAAGAGGGATTTTTTCATGAGTTGTTTTCAGATGAGTTCAAAGTTGAAAATGATCACTGCATAAAAATGATATTTTCTGCACACCCTGAGAAAAATGCTTTTTAACAGAAATAAATCAATTTGGTAGCTAAATAAAGCTACCTCAGGTAGGTAAATAAAGCTATGTAGGTAAATCAAGCTACGTAGCTAAATCTAGTGATTGTACCGGTGTAGGGTGGTTTCGCGCCGATTACGTGTTCGCGCCGAGTGGTATCGTGCCGAGTGGTTTCGCCCCGTTTATCTACAGGTAAGATATGGGTAGTATACAGACTGGCTTCCCCCCGATTACCTGTCAGGTAGCTTGTAATTAATTAACCCCAAGCGTTAATGTCGTGTTATATGGGATAATTATCCCAATTTGTATTAATACATTTAGTGAGGCCATTTTTAGCCAAATGACTATTTGAACAGATTTGATCGTCTTATTTGGAATAATTTAGGACTGGATATTAAAATATAGATATTTATTTCACAAATCGCGTTGATTTTTCAATGAAGGTTGTCATTGTTTTTCAGTTTATTTACAATATTAAATTATGTAGAACAAGGAAACTTCAAAGGCAATCAATCTTCAAGTTGCATAGAGACACATCAGTAATTAGAAAATATAATATTCTTCATTATAAGCACTCATACAGATAGAAATTTTTGAAAACTTCACAGCTAATATATAATATACATGTGGGGCGAATCCACTCGGCGCGAACAAGTGATCGGTGCGAAACCACTCGGCGCGAACACGTAATTGGAGCGAAACCACCCGCATTCATTGTACCAGACCTGTACAAGACAATGATTTAAACTCAGTGCCTGATATCCTTGGCTAGCCGAACTACATGTAATACAGTGCTTTATATCTTTATAAAATGCTAATAACCTCAAGTTTTCGAAGGTCCTCTTCATATGTATCTCTAGACAGAAAACTTTCTCTAAGTGATGTCTCCTGCAGTGAAACCTTCAAAGAAACATTGATTTATAAATGATATCAGAGAAGCAACTTTGACCAAAAGAAATGCAAGATTTAACCCAATAAATACATTGTCATCTATCTGAACGACATCTTTTTAAAATTTACCTCCATAAATAGTCACTTTACTAAAACATTCAGTTCAGACGTAATTATGAATTCATTAAATCAAATGTATTGAGAAAATTCGAACAGTAAACATTGTTTACAAACACGACTTACGTCTTCGCTGAGTCTTTCTATGACTGACTTTTGAGTAAGAATGATGTCCTGGAGCTGCCTCTGTACTAAAACATCAGAGGGAATGGAGTCAGTCTCAGAAAAAGTGGAGATCTCCTCCTGTATTGTTACAGTTTCCATCGGTGATGTTGCCTTACGTATTCCGGAATAATTTAGTTTGTCCGTGGAATTCAGGCTAATTCAGTGCAAATTGTATTTCCTGCGTTCTAGAAAAACATTTTTTTTTATGTCGGCACAACAAAAATACTTAGGTTAAGTTAATTTCTATGATATGCCAAGTATATTCTAGAACTTATATTGAATCTTTCCAAACGCTGGATTAAGGTGGTCAATTTCACGATCAGACATCAAATTGATTTTTAACGGACGCGGATGACCTTTGGAGAACTTAGAGGAAAAACTGTTTAAAAAATCAAAGTAAATCTTATATATACAATATGGTTTTATACAGTAAGACGGATTAAATGCAATTAAAGTAGTAATGGAGTCTGAGAAAAACGATGGATCAATTCGTGCTCCTTTAACTGTGGACTGTGTATTGAATGGCGACATTGACTATGATCTCCTTAGTCCCAAAGACAGACCCAAACCATGTAAGTAATCAGTGTCTGCAGTATTTACTAACACACACAAAGAGAGAGAGAGAGAGAGAGAGAGAGAGAGAGCGTGTGTGTTTGGGTTTGTGTGGTAGAGAGACAGAGGATAATATTGAATGTTTGAATTAAAAGAATTGATTCTTTTTAAATTGTGTTGAGTATAACTAATCTAAATATTTAAAATCATTTAATTTTATTTTGTCTGTACAATATTTGGCAGAAGTTGAATTTTCAACAGGTTAGCTTAGATTTGAGTTAGTTCTCTCTGAGTGTGCTTTATTTAAACATGTGTAAACAAGACATTTAGCGATCTACTTGATTTAGTGGAAGATGCTTTCTGCGAAAGGTGCCAAATAGAATACACAGCCAAATGTTAAATGTTTACAGTATATGTCATTGTAAAATTTTGTTGAATTTTTTTCTAGGTATGCCTTGGTTTGGCTTAGATATTGGTGGTACACTAACAAAGCTTATCTACTTTGAGCCAAAAGACTTTACAGAACTAGAAGAAGAACAGGAAAAAGAAACAGCTAAAATCATAAGAAAGTATTTAGTTGGAAACACTGCCTATGGAACCTCAGGGATACGAGACGTTCATTTAGAAATGAAGGACCAATTGATTGGAGGTCGTAGAGGAAGTCTCCATTTTATACGATTTCCTACCAGTAACATGGAGGGGTTTATAGATTTGTGCAAAGCTAAGCATTTCAACACTTTAGTCACAGAGATTTGTGCAACAGGAGGGGGAGCATATAAATTTGAGAAAGATTTTGTCAAGGTAACACTAAAAATTTATTGGTAAGATATGTGAGGTGATTTACAGTACCTTGTACACCTTTACAAATTCACTTCTTGATAATCTAAATGTCATTATAAATTGCAGGTGAACACATGACTATGTTTATGATTTAAAATGTTTATGCAAATGGAATTTCTCTCTGGTGCATGTAAAATATAGACAATTCTTTTACAGGCTGTAAACCTCCATCTCCATAAGTTTGATGAACTTGACTGTCTGTTAAAAGGAATCCACTATATCGACAGACACAACGAAAAAGAGTGTTACTATTATAAAAATCCAGAGGATCCAGATAGCTGCCAGAAAGTCCCATTTGATTTCAAGAACCCTTATCCCTACTTGGTAGTTAATATAGGATCAGGGGTCAGCATTTTAAGTGTTCATGGACCAAACAATTATCAAAGGGTCAGTGGAACAAGGTTAGTGTTTACAGTGCATCTATAATGTGGAATTATTAGTTTTTATTGTTCTTTTTTTTCATTAAAGATTTTTTGGTACAAATTTAATACCTTAGCAAATACATTGTATTGACTTGCAAGTGTTGAAATTTTTCATGAAAAGACATGTTTCCACAAAGTTTTAGGAAACATAGAACATTTGAGCTGCATGAAATAAAATAAAATCAATGTACAATGACTGATGACGATGCAATTTTCTTCCAATTTTTTAGCTCTCTTCTTTCATTGTTTTTTTTAAAAAATGGATATGGCACTGATTATGGGGATGCTTTAACTTTGTTTTTAACAGTCTTGGAGGGGGTACATTCCTAGGGTTGTGCTGTTTACTGACTGGGTGCCAAACATTTGAAGAGGCAATAGAACTTGCATCTCGGGGGGACAATAAGAAAGTGGACAAACTTGTTAAGGATATCTATGGTGGAGATTATCAGAAATTTAAGCTCACTGGAGACATTGTAGCCAGCAGGTGAGTGTTTGTTTTGTCTTGCTTTTAAGGAGGCTGGGGGGGTCAACAAATTAATCACATATTAACCACCAGATTTAACTTATTTTTTTTTTTAGATTAGGTATCTTAAGCTGTCAACTATCATTTGGCAAAGAAAAAATTCATACATTTTAGTTTTAAAATTTGATCAATTTTGTATATCTTTATATGGAGATCTTCTTCTAAAGGAGATCAAAATAGTCTGAAAATGGCTGCCACACCCCAGCCTCTTTAAATATTACAAATAAGGTAGTATAAGACAATTTTTTTCAGTTCTGTTAGATTATCAAAAGAATTGATTTTTGAACCTATTTTTTGTTTGGGTATGTTTCCTTCTGTAAGATATTTTAAGCTTCAAACATTTCTTAATTAGAGAACTTGTAAATCATATTTTTTTTCAAAACATTTATTTTCTAGCTTTGGCCACATGAATCAAGCAGAGAAAAGGGAGAAAGCTAGTAAGGAGGATCTAGCACGAGCAACTCTGACCACATTGACCAATAATATAGGGTCCATAGCTAGAATGTGTGCTCAAACTCAGGTTAGTCCCCCAAACAATGATAGCTAGAATGTGTGCTCAAACTCAGCAAACATTGATAGCTAGAATATGTGCTCAAACTCAGCAAACAATGATATCTAGAATGTGTTCTCAAACTCAGCAAACAATGATAGCTAGAATGTGTGCTCAAACTCAGGTTAGTCCCCCAAACAATGATAGCTAGAATGTGTGCTCACACTCAGCAAACAATGATAGCTATAATGTGTGCTCAAACTTAGGTGAGACACTCTGACCAATGATATAGGGCCAAAGCTAGAAAATGTGCTTAAAATCAAGTGAACTGACTAATATAAGATAGGGTGCATGGCTAGAATGTGTGCTCAAACACAAGTGAGTCACACTGAACATGAGTATAAGATCCATGGTCAAAGGGTGTACTCAAACTCAGGGATTCACATTGATCAGAAGCCAGAAAGTGTACTGAAACTCACAGGAGTGATGTTGAACAAAAACATAGGGTCCCTATCTAGAATGTGTTCTCAGATGTCTTCGGTACTTTGCTTCAGTTGTTGCAAATTACAACTGTATAGTATAGATCTAATAAATAATAAACAGGCAGATTACATTCCCTTGTATTTGACCTATTTAACATCCTAATTTCAGGGATTGGAGAGAGTTGTGTTTGTTGGTAACTTCCTGCGTGTTAACACAATTTCCATGAAACTTTTAGCCAATGCCATGGACTACTGGTCTAATGGAGCTCTGAAGGCCCTCTTCTTGGAACATGAGGTAATACTAACTTTTACAGGGTTGTTCTCACCCTGTGTTATTTTTACCTTTTACCACTTGCAAGCAGTTTTGTACCATTTTAAATTTGCTCAGACACACTTGTGTTAAAGAAAATATACTGTTTTCTTTGAATTCATCCCATTCTTAACTTATTCTCTTGTGTTGAGGATGAAAGGGGTGAAAAAATAGATTAGTCTAAAATTTTCCTGCATACAGTAAATCACATTTCATTCATATTCAATTAAGAATAAAGAATCAATTCAACACTCAGTATATCAATATCAAGTACCTACCAGTGTCAGAAATTCAAAGCAAAAATGTACTATCAAGAAATATTCCAAGTTTAACAAATTAAAAAATGCTGCTCATGCATAAGTATTAAACTTAATCACTTTACATGATGATTTATACATGTAATAATAAAATCACTTTATGTACCAACTTTGCTGAATTCATGCCATATATTTTCTAATGAAATCTTATACTTTTATAATTTTGCACTGCTATTATACATTTTACATCTTTTTAAAAAGAACTATTAATGCTTTTTGTTTACATTTGGCTATTACTTATTTACTTTGCAGGGTTACTTTGGTGCAATGGGATGTCTTATGGAATATGTTGGACATAGTGGCTCTATAAGTTTTGATAGATATCAGCAATTTGACCAATAGATGTTCACAGATTATTCCATGCAATACAGAGACTGCTTTATTACAAGCTCCTGTTCTACAACCATTTCCATTCAGATTTGTTCAAATTAAATGTGCTGAGTTGAAAGTACATTACAGGGTTTTATATTCCGTAGAGACCAAAGGTTAGAAGAAGATCAATTTTGATCTGTACATGTAATTTTGTTCATATCTTTTAACTTGTTCATTACTGTAGAGTGAACAAGATGAGGTCCAGGGTCCAAGTCTTAATGCTAGTTAATGTTAAAATACAATGGGAAGGTAATTCATGTGTGCATAAACATGTATTGCTTGAGTGATAATGGGCATTAAGTTTATTTGTAGAGCTCAAATTGTTATATATTGTAGAGAGCATTGAAATCTGTTACGTGTTTATCATATAGTTTCCCCTGTAGGGAAACTGCTTAAAGTGATTCAAAATGAAAACAAAGCTTTATGCCTAATATGTTTTCATTTATTGTACTGGTACATGTATATTCAGATTTTCATTGTTATTTAGATTTATCAAGAACAATCATTATATTGGCAGTTTTATCTTAATTGACTGGTCATCAAACAGAATAATTCTTGCAATAGTTAAGTGTCTGGTGTCAGTTCATCTTTTTTTTGTCCTCCTTGTTAAGTTTTCATCTAATTCAACAATTCACAAGTGGACCACATTAATATGCATTTGATTCTTTTTACAAGAATCTGATTTCGATAAATTTCATCACCATGTTTCTTTAAAAAAACACCAGTAACATTATTTTAAAAACCAATTCTCCAGAACAGCAAGTCTCATTGAATTAATTCAAGTTAAGAAAATATCTTTACATTAAATTTTATAAGTTCATTTGCAACATTTAGATAATGATGAATGTGAACCAGAAAAGCAAGAGTCTCATCAGAGACTTCTGATTAAATGAGCTATAGGGAAAATAAACTAAAATCAGGGATGTCATGTTTCCATATTTTCCATGAATACACAAGACAAAACGTAATTTAGCAGGATTTACTAATACACATAGTCATTTTCCCCATTTTGAGTTGAGAAGAAAAAAATTGTATAAAAAGTTTTTAAAATCAATTTCATTAGAAGTACTTGGGATTCAGGGTAATCTTTACATAATGTAGCTTAATTTAAAGAAACAAAATTATCTTGCCCAATAGTAATTTTCATTTAACATGTTACTTTTCTTTAAACATGTTACATTTTAATTCTAAAGTTAAACGAGACTTACCTGGAAGGTGAAGTTTGACTGGAATTTCTTCGACCAATTGGGGGTGCAGAGGGATCAAATGAGATGATAAGCTTACCATGATTCATACTTTTAGAGTTATATTTTTATTTATGAATTTATACTTTAATGGTGGGTGTATACTGCAAGTATAAGGGCATTTGATTCCTTGAATTGGTCGAAGAAATTCCAGTCAAACTTCACCTTCCAGGTAAGTCTCGTTTAACTTTAGAATTTCTTCTATATTGTCTCAAATGAGACTTTAGAGTTGATAAATCCAAATTTTAAAGTTTTCTATAAGTATTAATATAAAGTTAAACTTGCATCCGCTTTAAAGCCTTCTTTAGCTGTGTCTCACGTATAAATAATCGTAATCCATTATGTCTATGATTTAGTTATTAAAGAAATATTTTCTTGCTTTTTAGTAGTAATCAATATAAAGCAGAAGTCAAATTTGTTTCAAATCTATTAAAATGAAATAAACACTGGCATACATGACATATATATGTGACAATCAAACTTGATCATATTTGGAAAGCATTCTTTGACTAAAATTGTCATCCACAATGATAGGTTTGTTATAATATTTTCTAAAAACACAGTCACTTTTCCATCCAACAGTCTTCAAGATGGTAGACATTGGAAGTTTGCGCGCAAGCGCTGCGCTGCTGGACGCCGCCCTAGTACTATGGGGTTTGAATATGTTAATGTCAATTCCAGCCGCACACATAACGGATTTCATCCATCTGCCAACAGTGTCCCTGGACACCCCGCGATGGGGTTTCTGCGTTGTAATGAATAAGTTTGTAACATCATTTCTCAGGTTACTCGTTCTTAGAAGATAGTGTTTCATAACACGAACAACACATAAACTTTCATCATGAGGATAGCTTGAAAAATTTAGTTCGCCCATATGTGACTTAGGATTTGATGTTTTCAACAGATCACCTATAACAATTTTCAATAATTTGTCTTCGACATGTACATTTCTTATATCTATTAAATGCAACGTTTGACCCCTTTGTCCTGACAATAACGCAAGTAACATTAATAACTTGTGAGATACATGTAACAAGGTCAAATCCATTAAAGGTTCTAGAGATTTCAAATAATCCAACACAATATCTACATTCCATGTAACACTATATTTAGGTAAAGCAGGTTTCATTATAAAAACACCTCTCAAAAATCTACAAACTAAATGATGTGAGCCAATATTTACAGAGTTTGTTAATTGTAAAAACGAAGATAATGCACTTCTGGCGGTATTCAATCCGCTGTAACCTAAACCTGCATTATACAATTTTGTCAAAAACGCCAAAACATTATTTACATTTGCGTCAAAAGTATCAATTTTTCTTTGCTGACAAAATAACATCCATTTTTGGTGATATGTCCAATATTGTTTCTTTGTGGATTCCCTCCACGAGGAGAGGAGTACGTCGATAGTGTCCTCCGATAAGCCTCGGTTCTGGAGCGATTTCCGGACACACGAAAAACACCCAGTCTCATCTTGGGTATCGGATGTACTTTGTCTGGATTGTTCGGTAGCCTCAGAAGTTGCTGATTGTTCGGTAATAAATAGCTGTTCGCTGCTATCAGCTGTAGTAACTTGGGAAACCAGGGTTGCGTCGGCCATATCGGGGCTACAATGACTGCTTCCACACTCTCTATCAATATTTTCTGCAGTACCCTGCTGAGAATACAGAAAGGACAGAAAATATAACATTTTAATTCACTCCATGAAATTGTAAAAGCATCTATCGCTATTGCATGTCTATCAGGGGCATATGACACATATGGAGAAATTTGTCTATTGTATCGGGATGCAAATAAATCTATGTCACAATTCCCGTATAGTCTTGTAATCTCGTCAAAAATCTCTGGATCAAGCATCCATTCCATATCAGGATTAAAGTTTCGTGAAAGGTAATCAGCTTCTACATTTTCTACACCTGCTATATGACATGCCGTTACCCAAATGTTTCTTTTTATACAAAATTCCCAAAATTGTTTTGTTAATTCATTTAGGGTTTCAATTTTTCCTCCCATTTTATTAATATATGTAACAGCGACAGTGTTATCTAAATACAGTTTTACATGACAGTCTTTCAAGTATTTGCACATGCGTGTCAAAGCGAGATAAGCTGCTTTCAGTTCCAGGAAATTTATATGAGCTTCCTTATCGTGGTCATCCCATAATCCCTGATGCACTCCCCGCTGTTTTCATTGATAGCGCCCCAGCCATTCCCCGAGCTGTCAGTTTTTATCGTAACGAGGGGGTTATCATGCATTATTTTTCGAGGATAATTATTCACATTATTAATCCACCATTGTAGGTTAATTAGGGCATCTGGCGAGAGTGAAATACGAGCTTCATAGTTTCCAACGTTTTGTTTTAGAAGTCTATCTTTCTCTATTTCTAATGACTTGTAATACAGAGGTGCGAATTGGACTCCTTGCTCACTTGCCACGAGTTTTCCTATCAGTTGCGCTAATTGCCGAATTGTTAGACTTTGCGAGGCAATGATTTTGTTACAAGTGTCTTGTATAGATTTTGCCTTATCGTCCGTTAAAGAAACTGTCATTGTTTTCGAATTGATGATAAATTCGATTTTCTGTGTAGGAATAAAGACTGACTTTTCTATATTCACTGTTAAACCGAGGTTGTCTAGCAATGTAGCAGTGGTTTTAACGTTTTTTACACATTCAGTCTTAGAATCACTGATAAGTAATGTGTCATCTATGTATGCAACATTTGAAAAACCTTGTTTCCGTAGAGTTGAAAATGCGGGTTTCATTAATTTGGTAAATATTCTGGGCGCTGACGCTAATCCCATTGCCAAACATGTATACTGATATTTTTGTCCGTTCCACAAAAATCGTAAATATTTTCTGTCATTAGCATTGATCTTACAGGAATAATACGCATCTTGTAGATCTATTGAGGCCATGAAACAATCTTTGGTCACTAAATTTATTGCGGCTTTTAAAGTCTCCATTTTGAAATGATGATATTCTACACAATTATTCAGATTTTTAAGATTGAGAATTACTCGATATTTCCCATTTTTCTTTGGTCTAATAAAGATATTTGATAAGAACTCATTTTCCTCCGAATCTATCACTTCTTCGATAATTTTCTTATGCAATAATTGTTTGATTTCTTGATCTACCAAAATCATTTCTTCATTGTTAAATTGAATTGGTTTTGGTGAACACATTTGATAGGGAAATTCATCAAATTCTATGGAATACCCTCGAACAGTTGAAAGTACTGTTGCATCAGAAGTTATTTCTGCCCAAGCTTCAATACAGTGGGATATTTTCCCTGCTTGGAAATTATCATTTGTGTTCATGAAATTCATATCAAGTTTACTCACTTCTTTTGTAGTTTTTATTTCCGCTGTTTGTATTGAGTGCTCGGGGCCTTCTTCCGGAAATGAGGAGTGGATCTGTGGCCTAAAAAATGGGACTGTTTTCCCGATCCTCCGTACTGAGTGTAATTTGACTTGTATCCATGGCCAAAAGGTTTCCTGTTATAAGGTTTTCTATCCTTAGGAAACGTTCCGGATATCTTCGATCCTACTTTATTGCCTTTAACAATATCTTCAACAACTTTCCCGAGGTCGTCTCCAAACAAGTTGTCAGTCACCGGATGATCATTGGAGCACAAAGCCTTAAACTCCTCGTTTTTGTCCGGTCACTGTGAGCTCTCTGCGCCGATATGAAAGGTCGCAATATACAAAAGTCATTAATTTGAGGCTGTCCATCGCTAGTTTCGTAACCTTGCCAATCGGAGCTGTTTCACCCCCCTTCTTTTTTGACTTAAGAAGTATATCCAGCTGTTGGAGCTGTGGCACAATAGCTATGCACACCAGTGCCTGGGTTTTTTAAAGTCGGACATCCTGTGTTCTGACTTTCCTATTAAGATGTGCCCAGATTTCGCTGTTCACTTTCGGTGTTATCAGATTTGCGACATTTTTCGGTTTGCTATACTTTTCACCGATCTCCTTAATTTTGTCATTGTTTAATTTTGTCCGCATGCCTTCATTTGCGACTTTCGCCAATTTCTCAGAAATTGGTTCGCTGCATTTGTCATCAGAACCAAAACATTCTGCTAGCTCTTCTAAGAGATCGTCTGGATCGCTTTCTTTTTCTTCTGTCACTTCAGACAGGAGTTCCTCAAATTCGTCTTTGGTATTGTCTGCCTCCGACTCGGACTTGCTACAGTCAGGTGCCTGCTTTTTACTTGTTGATGCAGACTGGGGATTATCCAGCGCCTTGCGCTTCTCCCCCTTATTTGTTTGTTCGCCATTCATGCGTTCTTGCATCTTTTGTACAGTTTGTGTAAGACACAACATTGATTTTTGATTTTCTAATAATTGTTTTTGCATTGTGGCAACTAGTGATTCCACAGCTGTCTCAGGTGCGTCACCTTTGAGATCTTTAGCATTACGATCATTGCCATTGACGGCCATTGTTTCTGAGTCTGTGCTCATGTCTTTGGGCGCGTCGCCACTAGACAATTTATATATATAATGTTCAATTAAGAAAGTTCCAAAGATAGTTAATCCTTGTAATCACGAAAAGAATCCAATTAAAAGTTCACACATATTATGTAAACAAAACTATAACACTAAACTAGAACACAAATAAAACTAAAAAATCCAAGAGCGTAAAAATTTTGCTGCCGTACGAATCACGTTTGCTTTATCTATGAATCACGTGGTAAGCTTATCATCTCATTTGAGACTGAGGCACCCCATTGGGAGAAGAAATTAACTCTTTCAACCCTTCATGATAATTCATCTGATGAAATCTGGATTGATTTCATATTCATCAAATCAATCTTTTTAATTTAAATTGAAATGGACATACAGTATTTGTTCATGAATGTGTAATAAAAACATGCTTAAAGTCATGTATCGGTAAAGCACTGGCAAATCTTGCTGATATTGTCTAGAGTTGCAGAA